CCATTTTCTCCATCACTTCGAAGATAAAGTCTCGAGAAACCGAGTCAAACGCCTTTTTGAAGTCTACAAGCAGCATAAACCAGTCCTCCGACCCATTTTTGGCTGCGTCGATTATGTCAGCAACCAGCCCCACCGCATCAGACATCCGCCTTCCGGGGATAAAGCCAAATTGTTCTGGTGAGATCACCTTGTGCAGCACTTTCTTGATTCTGCTCGCCAAGACCCGCGCCAGTAGTTTGTAGCTGATGTTTAAAAGCGTGATAGGACGGTAGTTATCCAACTGCTCTTTCGCCCCTTTTTTATGCAGGAGGATTGTCACCGCATCTTTCACGTTGGTGGAGAGCGAGGACGTGAGGGTGAAGTCGCTGACCAACCCCATAACATGCTTTCCGAGTGTGTCCCAGTGTGCATCAAATAGCTCCTTCGGCAGGCCATCTTTCCCTGGTGATTTGTTGCACGCCATTTCCCGCAACGCCTGTCTGACCTCCTTCTCTGTCCATTCCTCTTGCAGACTTTCCGCATCTGAATACAGCAGCCTCTTCCCGGCTTCCGGACGCCAATCCGAAGTCATCGTGCACTTATCTTCTCCGAAGAGGTTACGGAAGTAATCTGCCGCTGCCTCCAAGATCCGTTTCGGCTCCGACACCACCCCTCCTGGTACCGCAATCTCCGTGATTTGAGTCCTGACTTTCCGCGTCTTTATCCTTGCCGACAGATGCGGTGAGGGGACTTCTCCCGTCAACGCCATTTCCACTCCAGCCATGGTGTGCATTCTGTCCCTTCGACACGCAAAATACTCCTTGAGCTGATGTTCCTTTTTACTCAGCCGTTCCTTCAGCAGCAGATCTTTCGGGTGCTGCATGAACTCCTGTCTCAATGCAGCCACCGATGTGGTGAGATGAACGATAGTTGCCCTGATCCTTTTGCTCTCTTCTCTTGCATACGCTCGCAGGCTGGCATGCAGGCGCGAAATGAGTGCTGTAAAACCTCTTCCATTTTGCGCGACCAGCCGCTCCACCTCCTCTATCTTCTTCTTAGCCCCTGGCCTCCCAAGCAGGGAGGGATGAAATCGCCAAATTCCCGGCCCCAGTTTCAGTTGCGATTTGAGCTTGAAGATTACCCGGACAGCAAAACCATGATCAGAGACCGGCTCATCCGGCGAGACGTGCGTAGCTGACACCAGGCGCGGGAGCAAGGATTGAGAGGCTAAAGCTCGATCTATCCGTGAACTCTCCTGATGTGATTGTGAGTAAAAGGTGAACTCTCGTTCACTTGGGTGAAGGAATCCAAAAGCATCTGAGACGTCAAAGGCTTTACAGTGGTGGTAGAGGAAGTCATTCTCTTTAGTTGATCCGTGTCTGGAGGTTTTATCAAGCAGTGGATTCTCAATGGTATTAAGGTCACCTAGGATGAGCAGGTGGGTGCCTGGCTGAATCTGGCCTAGAATCGGACCAAGCACTATCTTGACGAAGGCTCGCTTCTCAGCTTTGTCTGCAGGTAAGTAAGTTGCTATCAGGGTAAGTCGAAGGTTTGAACAGTGAACTTCAGTCTTAACAAGTCTTCCTGAGGGGTGAGCTTAAGGGTTGTGAAAGGAAAGGTCCGTTCGCCGGCTGAGAACTGCAACACCTCCGGCTCGAGTCACAGAGGAGGTGGCAGCAAAAGAGGTGAGATTGAGGGAAGACCAGTAGGTGTTATCGTCTGTTATTCGCGTATCTGATAAAACCATTACATCTGCTCCTTTGTTGCTGTTAATCCATGCCGTTGTACGTTTCCGCTTCGTGAAGTCCCCCAGGCCGTTAACATTCAGGCCCGCAAACGACAGCGTATTCCGTGTATTCATTTAATAACTCCTTGATCGCCTCTACGCATCCACAGGCAGGTAAGACAGAGTACACCAAGAACTACCGCTCCAACTGATATCACCATGGCAAGCCGATCTGGGTCTGTTAAATCCCATACTCCTTGCGGACTGTATGCAGGTTCTCCTTTTCCCTTGTCAGACGAGTGACCGCACCCAGCTCCCCTTGTCCGTGCAGATGACGCGCAGCAGTTATGTGCTCTGCAGCAGCGACAAGCAGCATCCCATGCGCTTTCCCGCAACAAATCTGAGTACAGATCCACTCTTCCCTGGAGCTTCCGGTGGAGATCAGGACAATAGCCGGGTCGAGCAGAATCGGACGCACCAGGCGCGAAGCAGTCAGGGAAGCAGCTGCGACAAGCGGCTAAACGGTTAGGAGTTGGATAACAGGTAAGACAATCTGAACTGCTTAAGCGTGTAAGTGTACTGTTACCATTGATCCCATGCACATGACCTAGGCTCAAGTTCCACTTCCCTATGTTATGCTGCCGGTCAGTGGTGAAGGCATCATGGTATTTCTCATAATGCGGACCCCCACAGAGCCAGCAGGAGAGCATAGGGTAGTGGACCAGGAGCTTCTTATCATGCTCCTGCGGGTGGTTGACTTGGTGAATAAAACGCCGCTTTTTGACTTCCGGGTGTGGAACCACCAATCCCTTAATAGTCCCTGTGTTGGCTCCAGAAACCGGATGCACCACGCGGTGAAAGCAATGACCCTCCAGGAAAGGCGTGACTTGGCGAATTTTCAGCTTGTACTTCACCAGCAACTCCTCAACAGCCTCCGGCGTAATACTGGCAGGTATGTCCTTAAAAACCACTTCAATAGCCCATTGATTAGTAGCTTTCTCCTTCGCAAAAGCTGCATTCTCAGCATGCAGCCAGTGTAGAGTAAATGATGCTCCATTCGGCTTCTGGTACTCCAGCGCTGCCTGACGCACTTTGATCGCATCCTCTTCTTTCAGAAATGATAACTGAAGGCGGCTGTACTTTGTCTTTGCTACGTAGGCAGGATTGATATCCTGAAACTCAATCAATGTGTTAGCACCGTCAGCGAATAAGGAGGACCAGACACGTTTCAACAGCAGCTTCACGGTTAAAATAACCGATGCCATTTCCGGTTGAAGGACCAGCGGGAGAAGCAGAATCGCCGTGTGACGGATTTTCGCAGCAAAATCCTTGGAGATCTCAAACTCCAGTTCATCGTCGGAGTCATCATCCGTGAACTCTCCGTCGTCAGCTTTGTCATGCGCCAAGGTAAGCGCCGTCAACTTTTCCTCCAGAGATAAACCAGAGCTTCCTGCAACCGGAGTGACTGGTTCCTGATCCACCACAGTCTTTCCCTTGTCTTCAGACATGGTAGCAGAAGAGGATGCAGCAGAACGCTTCGGCACCAGGGGTTTTCGTTCCTTCGGAGGCGCACGCGGCATGGCGCAATGATGAGTTAGCTTGAGTATCAGGAGGCTTGCAAATGCCTGACAAGGTTGACTTGCTGAAACTCTGAGCCCAATATAATATAGCCGTAGTGATCCTCCGTCTGACCAGTATTCCTGGTGCAGATGATGAGATGTTGCTGACATAACCACTGGGTGGATATTCGTAGCCTTGAGAATGCCTTGAAATAAAGAGAGCCAATCATGTTGTCGCCTTGATAGCGCTTGGATAACACACTGGAATGCTGTTAGAATAACAGATGGCAAAGCCTTGAGATTGTATTGACTGAAGAACCTGAACAGCAGATCCCGAGGAGCTTTTGATACAATGTCCGACTGATGGACACGATAAGTGTACCAAACGCTTCGTCGTGATAAGGCGAGTACAATGCCGTGGTTCTTAAAGCCAACTGATAACTCTGCTTCACGAAATGCCGGGTTGAATACCCTGAAGAAATCCATGGCGCTGTAGCGCTATAATCTATAAACTTGGTGCCTAACTATGTGTAGTGTCGATGTGGTTTCAAGGGGCAAGTGGGGAATGATCGCCTGAACAAAAACACCTTCTCTAACCAACTGACTCGCCGGCTGTCAGCTTTCCAGCCGTCATGTCGCCGGCCACCGGCTTACCCGACCGGCCGGGCAGAGGAAAAACGTTAGGTGTTGGCCGTTTCGGACGACAGATATCAAAAGCTCAATGATGTTTCTCACAGTATTGAGATGTATCAATACAGTTATGTATAGTTTATATTCTCAGAAATCAATATCAGTATCCAACAAATAAAAACAAAAAAAGGGTTTCCACTCCTCCAAGCTGATAACATACTGCTGAATGGTGACTTGGCAGCGAGGCCTGTCCTTAGACTCCCTCAGCATTTTCCTAACACAAGCACGCCCACCCCATCCACGCTCCCCTGTCCTTTTCGAACGAAGTGGTTATGACTCAAGTGCGGAATGATCGCCTGAACAAAAACACCCTCTCTAACCGACTGACTCGCCGGCCGTCAGCTTGCTAGCCGTCATGTCGCCGGCCACCGGCTTACCCGACCGGCCGGGCAGAGGAAAAACGTTAGGTGTTGGCCGTTTCGTATGATAGATATCAAAAGCTCAATGATGTTTCTCACAGTATTGAGATGTATCAATACAGTTATGTATAGTTTATATTTTCAGAAATCAATATCAGTATCCAACAAATAAAACAAAAAAGGGGTTTCCACTCCTCCAAGCTAATAACATACTGCAGAATGGTGACTTGGCAGCGAGGCCTGTCCTTAGACTCCCTCAGCATTTTCCTAACACAAGCAAGCCCACCCCACACCCCCAACCCAACCCCCCTCCCCCTCCTTTGCAAGTAGTACCATAATCTGGCAGAACAATCTTCCTTTGCACACGTTATAGAGATACCTGGAGCATATTCGGGGAAGCCATCTGGCCCTAAGTGTTGCATAAGTTGTAGCAATTGGCAGCATTGCAGCATGTGTAGAGAGAATTCAGCAAAATGCCACGCACCGGCCGTACTGGTGCAAATGCAAGGACTCACAAATACCGTACAGAAAGACAATAGACAGGGGAAGTCCCACGTCCCACAAATACTGCCACAATTGACAACCACAACTACCGTACGTCAAGCGCAAGCTTACTCAAAGTATCAAATAGTGCATATACAGTACCACTGTACTTGAAAACTAAAAATAACATATATACTGTACCTCCTATGCCGCACCCTCGAGCCACGACTGCAGCTCCTTCCGCACGCCAACGGCTGCAAAGTCTGAAACCCGGATGGTGCTTCCCCCCCCTAGAAACGCAACTACTGCTGCCGGAATCAACGGCTTTAACATATTAGCTTGCTGCTGCTGCAAAGAGCCTAACATTGGGCACCTGTAAGTGGTTGGAAACACTGCAAGGTTGTCTGAAGGAGCTGCACACACTGAATTGATACCAGCCGGTGGGTTTAGAGGAGCCTCATGATACGAGCTGCTCGTATTCATTTATGTGCTACTTGTTTTGAATTCTGTGTGGCATGACTTGAAATTAGAGGCACAAAAGTGGGACGGACGTTTGCTGCTCCAGGTGCGCAGCTCCTCTGGTGAAACCACAGTCTCAGGGTCCACGCGAGCACAGGCTTGGGCACAGGCTTGGTCACAGGCTTGGGCATAGGCTTGGGCACAAGCTTGGGCACAGGCTTGGTCACAGGCTTGGGCACAGGCTTGGTCACAGGCTTGGGCACAGGCTTGGTCACAGGCTTGGTCACAGGCTTGGTCACAGGCTTGGGCACAGGCTTGGTCACAGAGTTGGGCACAGGCTTGGTCAGTGGCACGGAGAGGAAGAGGCTGTGCATCCATGGCTGAGGCGGGTCGCTTCCGCACATTCCCACGTGTACCAAAGGTGGTGGCTGTAAGAGGCAGTGATATACACGCGCCTGAGTCAGACAGAGTAGCAGACGGCATTGCAGGGAGAGAGGCAGGGAGAGAGGTAGGAGGAGAGGCAGGAAGAGTGGCGGGGAGAGAGGCATGGAGAGAGGCAAGGAAAGAGGCATGGAGAGAGGCAGGAAAAGAGGCATGGAGAGGGGCAGGAAAAGAGGCATAGAGAGGGGCAGGGAGAGAGGCTGGGAGATTGGCAGTTAGAGTCTCAGGCGCGGCTGCGGCAGGTCGGTTTACACCAGTGTTGTTACTCTGCAAGAAGGAATCAGTTAGAGACAGCACCAACGCTGTCACTTGATCCGTCTGCTTTGACAGCTGCTGCTGCTGTTGCTGCAGCATCATCACATCCTGCTGGGTCTGAAACCCAGCAGCATCAGTGACAGCACAGCAGCCCGTCAAAGGTGACTTTTGAGTCAACGGCTCCTTCGGGGTCTGAAACAGAGGAGCATCGGATACAGTACAGCAGCCAGACAAAGCACCACCCAGCACATGCTCCATCGGTGTTGCCATTCCCTTCCCAGAAGGACCATCCACAGACCCTTCCTCCCCATCACCATGCAGACAGCAGCGGCAGATGGATCCTCCTGGATCTTCAAGCAAGCGGCAGCAGCGTGCTACTCACACACCAGCGCCAGCAGCATTCCAGCCCTGGACCCCAGGCATGCCACTCCTGACAGGCAACTCACCTGGTACAGCAGCGACGGTTGATAAGGGCATGCAGGAAGGGACATGCAGTGCACGGGAGATGCAGGGAGAACGAATGACACATGGAGCCTTTTCAGGGCAGCAGCTTCAGGTATGCTTATCCAATCAACTCGATTGCCAGACCATCCCTTGTGCAGGCTTGGTGCAGCATACAGCCCCAAGCCAACAGATCAAAGCCCACAGAAGCGAACCGGTACCTTCAATGCGCAAACCTCATCCACCTAAACTTGCAGCTGTCAAGGCCGCAGCAGGGAATGGAATGAGTGGTTCGCTGGCTCAGCAGGAAATGTATGGGCCCTTGATTCCTGCGCCAGTGTTTGCGTTCCTGGGGGGAGCGAGCACCATCCGTGTTTCATACTTTGTAGCCGATGACATGCGGAAGGAGCTGCAATCGTGGCTCGAGGGTGCGGCTTAGTGTGACATTGTAGCGAGTTGACCTTTGAGTATACTCAAAGGTCGTTTCAGACTTTGTAGCCGATGACGTGCGCAAGGAGCTGCAGTCGTGGCTCGAGGGTGCAGCTTAGTGTGCAGCTTAGGGTGCAGCTTAGGGTGCAGCTTAGGGTGCAGCTTAGTGTGCAGCTTAGGGTGCAGCTTAGGGTGCAGCTTCGTGAGCAGCTTAGTGTGACATTGTAGCGAGTTGACTCTTGAGTCGACTCAAAAGTCATTCCGGACATCGTAGCCGTTGACGTGCGGAAGGAGCTATAGTCATGGATTGAAAGTACAGCTTATGATGACCATCTTTCATTCCTTTATTGGTTTGTTATACTTGTGCAGTTATGGTACACTCTGTAGTTGAAGTTTCCCTGTACAACATACTTTGTAGCCGTTGAGTTGCAGTCGTGGCTCAAGGGTGCAGCTTAGGAGAAGTTTGTTACTACTTGTACAGTTATGGTACACTTTGTAGAAGTATCCATGTACAGCATATTCAGTATATGACACTCTAAAAATCCCTGACATGGGCATGCCAACTGTCATTGATTGCGGCAGATTCTTCTGGCTCACTGTGTATGTGAATGCCAACCATTGCTGCCATACTCAAAATGCTACACCAAACACTGCAAGGAGCACAAATATGGAAATTTGCACGGTCTTCATTACATCACAACAAGTCTGTACAACCTGGAGGGTCAGATGCCTCGGCGTTTCAATTCTTGCCAGGGCGGCTCATCTCCACTTGAATCTGATCCAGTATATCTATAATGCGTGCAAAGGAAGGCCCTGCTGCCGGACCACCATTCCACCATCTGCTTCCAGCCTCGAGAACAAGGAAGGAAGGAGAGGGGATGCGCTGATTAAAGTTTGAGGGGCCTACAAAGGGAAATCTTGTTGCCGGCTCACCGTTCCAACAGTCTGGATGGAAGAGGGAAGACGGGGGGACAGGGTGAGGGAGGGAGGGAAATGTCAGGCTTTCGGGTTGAAGGACTGTGTTGGTGAGGAAACAAGTCACCGTATGCACACAGTGACAGCAGGAGGGTGAGTAATTAAGGGAAGGGCGGGACCAGAGCAGGATTCCTTATGCGCCTTAAAACTAGTTTTGAGGCACCTCATAGTGAGTGAGGGGAGTCACTCTACAACGGTGGGAGCTGAACTACGGGTGAAAGCACATGTGGCTTGAGAGATCGTAGCTTTGCTTGTGTGTTCACTACTTGCTAGTTCACAGAGCAGATTGACAAGAGTTTACTAGCAAAACAAGAATACAGAATGATAGAATAGCAATAGAAAGAATGACTACATATGGGACCTACACTGAACGAAATTATTGTCCTTATGTATTCGATCTGTACAGGAAATTGCACCCAATTGCAAAATAAGCAAGTATTGTAATAAACAAATTGCGTTTGGTGTTCGCGACTGTGTGTTACCAGTTTGTGTAGGTTACCTATAACCCCCAAACAACCTCTCGCTCTAACGAGTCAGCTCTTCCCTCTCGACACCCCACACGGACAAATCCTTCCGAAATGTCCCGTGCTTTATTTCGTGCGCAGTTAGATCTAGACTAGCTAGGTACAGAGGAGATTACGGGCGGTTTCTACGATCTTTGCGTAGCGCTAACACCCCCGCAGCATGAAGCGCCTTAGTGTGGAGAAACAGAAGCGCATCATGCAGCTAATTGCGGAGGGGCGTAGTTACCGCCAAATCGCTAAGGAGTTGGGAGTTTCGAAGTCCTCCGTCCATGACGAGCTCCTCCGCCACCTCGGTCCGAAAACATACGAGGAGCTAGTGCCGTCCCCGGTGAAACCTGGTCGGCCGCGCAAGCTACCAGAGCAAATCGCGAGGATAGTCGTAAGGTCGATAGTTTCTGTCAGAACATTATAGCTTATGCTGTTGTGTAGGCTATAGTGGGGTATCCCATAGGGGGTACAACCAATTAGGGTTTCATATTTGTACTCACTTCATTTCATAGTTCATTCATTCTTGTTCAAATCTTCTCATGGTATCGAGCAGGTTCCCCCTTGGGAACTGTGCTTAGGGCCCACCACATCGATTTTTTTTTTTTTCCTGCCCGAAGCGCGCTCAGCCCGAGTCGCGCTTCGGGCCCTTACTTCGTCGAGCCGCCCTAGCGGCCCTGCACTGCGGCCCCGCCACCCGTCTCCGCGGCCCCGCCGCCCTACCTCGCGGCCTCGCCGCCCCATTGCGCGGCCCCGCCGCCCTACCTAGCGGCCCCGCCGCCCTACCTAGCGGCCCCGCCGCCCCATCGCGGCCCCGCCGCCCCATCGCGCGGCCCCGCCGCCCTATCTAGCGGCCCCACCGCCCTACCTAGCGGCCCCGCCGCCCCATCGCGCGGCCCCGCCGCCCCATCGCGCGGCCCCGCCGCCCCATCGCGCGGCCCCGCCGCCCTTCCTCGCGGCCCCGCCACCCCATCGCGCGGCCCCGCCGCCCCATCGCGCGGCCCCGCCGCCCCATCGCGCGGCCCCGCCGCCCTACCTAGCGGCCCCGCCGCCCTTCCTCGCGGCCCCGCCACCTTACCTGCGGCCCCGCCCTTACCTGCGGCCCCGCCGCCCTCTGCTGCGGCCCCGCCACCTTACCAGCGGCCCCGCCGCCCTTACCTGCGGCCCCGTGCCCTGCAGCAGCACAGCCGAGCCGCCCAGCAGCCGAGCCGCCGAGCCGCCCAGCAGCCGAGCCGCCCAGCAGCCGAGCCGCCGAGCCGCCCAGCAGCCGAGCTGCCCAGCAGCCGAGCCGCCCAGCAGCCGAGCCGCCCAGCGGCCGCGCCGCCCAGCAGCCGAGCCGCCCAGCAGCCGAGCCGCCCAGCAGCGGAGCCGCCGAGCCGCCGGGCCGCCCAGCAGCTGAGCCGCCGAGCCGCCGCGCCGCCCTCCTTCAGGGCCGCCCGACCTGCCCAGTCTGGTGAGCACAGCGCCTTTTCACTGCACTGTCCTCACCCCACTGTTTGCGCTGCTAGTCGTCTAGGGTCATGGCTACCCCTAGTGTTCTCGCCTTTGACGCTGAGGGTAGGGCCATTGACTTTGAGGTCTGGGTAGATGACCTGCAGCTGTTCTTACAGTGCGATAGGGCAGACGGCCTCTCTCTCTTTGACCTCACCTCTGGCACCTCCACTGCCCCTGCTGCTGATGCTGACGCCACTGTTCGCTCCCAGTGGGCCACGCGCGACGCTGCTGCACGTCTTGCTGTGCGTCGCCACCTCCCTACCTCCGAGCGTGCGCACTTTAGTCAGTACAAGAGTGCTCAGACCTTGTACGACGCTGTAGTTGCGCGCTACTCCTCCCCTGCCACTGCTGCACTGAGCCGTCTCATGCTACCGTACCTCTTTCCTGATCTTACTGCCTTTCCCACAGTCACTGACCTCATTACGCACCTCCGCACTAGTGACACTCGCTACCGCGCTGCACTCCCTCCTGACTTCTGCGCCAGGAACCCCCCCCCCATGTACATCACTCTTTACTACATAGTCACTCGCCTTCCTGACTCCCTTCGCGTAGTCAGGGACCACTTTCTCTCTGTCTGTCCCACCACTCTCACTGTTGACCTCCTCGAGAAGTCCCTCCTAGCGGCCGAGAAGAGCATAGTCGCTGTAGGGGCCTCTCGTGGTGACCCGCGCACCCCCATCTTTGAGGGGTGTTCCCCCTCCCCCCTTCTGCCCTCTGTTGCCTCTGCTGCTGCGGCCGACCTCCTTGTTCTTGAGTCGGTCGGTGCGGCGTCTGCCCCTAGCGGGAGACGCCGCTCTGGCAAGGGCAAGGGGGGCAAGGGCGCTGGAGGAGCGAGCGGGGGCGGTGGAGGTGGAGGTGGCGGCAGTTGGGGGAGTGGGGGTGGCGGTGGGAGTGGAGGTGGGGGTGGAGGGGTCGGTGGCGGCAGTGGAGGTGGAGGTGGCGGCGGCGGTGGCGGTGGGAGCGGAGGTGGCGGAGGTGGCGGAGGTGGAGGCGGCGGCGGAGGCGGAGGCGGCGGCAGTAGCGGAGGCGGCGGAGGCGTCGGAGGCGGCGGGGGTGGCGGTGGTGCTGGTCGCGGGTCTTCGCAGAGGAGTGGCTCCGGTGGTGGCTCGCGCCAGCAGCAGCAGCGTGGTCGTGACACCCTGTCCCCTCAGCAGCTTCGTGAGTGGTACACTGCGCGTCAGCGGGGTGGGGGTTTTGGTCCGTGCTCCTACGTTTTGCGCACTGGCGACCGTGCGGGTGAGCAGTGTGGGGGTGCCCACCCCACCCAGCGCTGCTTTGGCCGCCTGACGGACGCGTGGCGTCACCAGTTCCCGGAGGCCTCCGAGATCCCTCGCTGGGGCGAGCTGTCTAGGGCGGGTGTTGCCATCTATGATCTTGACTTTGATGCTATTCTCTCTGCCATGTATGCTGTGTCTATTAGTGATGAGGGTGACTGTTACCGGTGTTTCCCGCCCGATCCGGGCATTGAGACTGCTGCTCTAGGTCCTGGTGAGGCTGCTGCCCTAGGTGCTTGCGACGCTGCTGCTCTAGGTGCTCGTGTGTCTGCGTCCTCAGGTACTGGTGAGTCTGCGCTCTCAGGTACTGCGTCGGCTTCGGCCTCCCTCACCTTCACCCTTGACTCTGGGGCGT